CGTCCCAGGGACTCACCAGTTGAAAAATTCATGCGTCCCACAGAAAAACTATGCTTCCCGGACGCGTAATTCCGCGTTAACGCAATCCCTGGCTGTATCATATAAAAACGATTACCAAGATTCGTTACGCAAGACCAAGTTTTAAATTAGTTGCATTTTGAAGGGGTGGGCGCTTTGCCGAATGTGACCCCAAATATAAAAATTGCGCAAAAGTGGGGGTGGGCGCTTGCCCGTGCATGGGCGCTAACGTGGTCGAGTACGGTATATTGAAATACAAATTGTTGAGGCGTGGTGCATTTAGTTCAATAGTTACTATTTAAGTATTCATTAAGTCATGGTTTTGGCCAATCAAAATGTTATGAATATGCATAGCTTAGTTTGTCTTAGTCGATTTATCACATATTCGGTGTTGTCTGTACTTTATCTTGTATACCATGCCACAACTATTATCATTATGGCATATAACCACAGAAATTCCAGAATGTCCATTGGTTGTGGTACAGAGTAAATGAGAGCTGATACTTAAAATGTACTGATTACCTAGTTCCATCTATGAAGTATAATTCCTGAAGTAGGGTGACCTTTGAAAAGGATTTCACCTTGTGTCAACCACTGAGAAAACCATCTATTTCTGGTTATGGTACTAGGTACAAATGTATCCCTCAGACACTGTTTTCCAGCTCTGTGTGAATGGGAAACCATATCAGAAATTCCTTAATAGTATAGTTATGCAGATGAAATGTGTAACAAATTACTTTTTGCATTACAGTACAGTACCTACCTTCAGTCCATTATCCACCCCAAGTTATTACTCCTAATAGTAAGTGCTCTTTCTCAACTTAGAGGAAAATACTCTATAATTAGGCCCTTTTGTTTATATGGACTTTCTAATTCATATGTACCTCAAATAATAGTACTTGGACAACCAAAGCATTGTTTGACGTCTGTAAACTGTGGGGTAATATTTGTGTGGTCCTTATTTTTAGCTTTCAAGGCTTTTACAAAACCTTCATAATTTGACTGAAGTTTACATTTTCAGGTGAAGCTCTGTGTCAGTAATTGATAGCTTAGATAGATATTTTATAAACATCTTTAGAACAAATTATACGCTTGTCAGAATGTGGAAAGGCCAGAGTGTTTGCAGCTGCTGCCCGTGATTTTATAGCACTGCAATAAATTTGTTGAAAGAAGACATGAAAAATGATATCTGGACTGAAGTAGCTTGTCTTGTGTAATTCAAGAATCGTGTTTATATATTTAACTACTAAACCTTGACTCCACATGCTATTGTAACAGTAATTTAAAGTTGTGTTGTTGACAAAATTTTGACTTCTTAAGTGATATGTGTATTGTAATGAAATACCACAGCTATGGTATTCACCCTTGCCAATAGCCAAACGTCACTGAGCAGTTACCGGTATGTAGCTTTGGTTGTGATTGAGTTTTCAGCATCTTAGGGTGTCATCAAGTCACAGGATTCTCTTTTTGACAATCAAAGATTACAAAATCAATATTTGATGCACTTTCCACTAAGATTAGTCTTAGATGTCTGTATTCTTCAGTTGTTTCCTGCATAGCCATTTAGGTCACTCCCTTTAGAATTTATACAACAACTATTTTATTTTTGAGGTATTGCAGTATCCAACTGAACATTACGTACTTCTTTAAAGTTAGTTGTGTTAGCAAGCTGTAAATGATGTAATTTTTAGATTTGAATTTTGGGCCAATTTGGATGCTGCAGGAAGAATAGTGAAAACAGATCTTTTATTTACATCGCTGCAGGGTGAATAGAATAGTCACTGCCAAATAACAATTAAAAAGGGTATTAAACTAAGTTTTGCTGACAATACAACTTTAAGTTTATGTGTATTTTCTTCGCATTCAATGTACATGTACGTCAACTTGTAATATATATTTCATCTAGTAATTTGTAAGTAGTAATCTACTGACCAGTACTGGCTGTAAACTGCTTTTACTAAGCGAGTTATGTGGGTCAAGGAAGATCACAAAATTGTCAAGCAGTAAATATTTTGCTGGAGTCCTTCAGTATTCTCACACGATGTGTTCAAATTGTGTGTTGACAAACAATGTATTGCATTGTGACCCATATCAAGCACATTGTGGTACAACTATTATTTTGCTAAATGGTTTACACTATTATGATCATTAATGCTTTATACCAATGTTGTACATCACCTCTGTGATAGACATGTTCAGTTCATATGATTATTAACTATCATATTATGTGGGTAACATTTATACACATTAAATGTTTATTCTCTCTAACTTATGACCTTAAAGCGAGAGGATCGTCACCTGCGCACACGCGGGAACCGAATCCCAAGCGACAATAACAACACGCGCTAAAATGCAAAGGCTCATGGGTAGACGCTTGTTTGTAAACAATGACACGCTATGGTCATCTGACGCATGTGCAGGTGACAACCCTCCCACTTTAACTGTGAGGTTTTAAAGGTGAACTGTTATTTACTACCTGGAAAATTGTGTTCATTAACTGTTTCATTCCTACTCTCATATTTTTTTTTTCTGCGCTCATATTTTTTTTTTGCAGCAGGCTTGATCCTTGATTTCCATGTTTAATAATTCTTAACAACTGTTTGTCTTTATCACTCTCTCTTGGTAATCAGCTCCAAAAATGTGGGCAATCATGAATGCCATTTTGTGTAACCTTCAACCATGATAATTATTCACATCACAGTGGTTGTATGAAATCATCTATCATCCGCATGTTTTTGCTTGCTATCAAAATATACTGATGATATATGTCGTGATTTGTTCTTTCTTCAGGTGCAGCAGCTGCTGCAACTCTGTCAGCACCAAAAAGTGGAATCACCACAGCTATGTTAAGACCACAGACTATGAGTGGACTTTCACCAACAACAACTGTACAGTCTGTCATGCCAGTGTCCCTGCAGGCTTCGTTACAGGTATGTACCTTCTACCGAAAGTAGAAAGTAGAGGTCAACTTAACATTGCTTTCTTATCAGACTAGATGCTCATCAATCATGGTGAAAGTCGTCATTCAGCAAGTCCCGGCTGTTGGATATTGCGATGGGCTTGAAATAGGAAATTTTGTTTTTTGTCGTGACATTGCAAAATTGCTGGCTCTAGTTATGAATTCACAAGCTCCTACCAAATATTTTATAAAACCATAACAACATGATATAATTTACTCTTCTGGGTGCGGGTTCCTACAATATTGCAACATTAGTTTCATTGTCGATGACGCTAAAGCCTTACATATACTGTAAGATTTGGTTGAAATCATAAGGCCCTTTTCAGGGCCATGACATATTTCAAAAAGAGAACTACCGTTTATGCTTCGATATACATTTTTGTAGACTTGCTGACTGTTATAATTCTGATAAAAAATCTTGAAAAATAAATGTAAATTGTGCGTGTTACAAATACCTCTTTGATGCAGTTTTGTATGGGAAGGATGTCTTCATCAAAAACAGGAAGTGGAATTTTGTTTTATAATTTGGTACGTCCAAGCTGGTTGGGTGCCTTGTTTCGAGGCGCGCCCAATCAGATCTCACTGCTTAAGATACGCAATTACCATAGCCTATGCGTTCCCGCATGGTATTGTGTAGGAGCCTATAGGTTGAAGACACGGGGCCGTGGGATTCGGACGATGACCTGAAGGTAGAAATCAAAATTACCTATTTGTAGCTGTCACAGCTATTTTGCATTCACCCCTCGTTTTATGCAATAAACATTTATTGTTGAGGAATTTTTATCAGAATCACAACAGGACTGCAAGGAAGTCAATTGTTAATACAATGAACAAAACATTAGGTTGTTGTGTAAAAAAAAAAACCTGGGCGTATTTCTTTATTGTATCAGAATTGGAGAGAGGGGTGGCATTTGCCCGGGCATGGGTGCTTACCCGGATAAATACGGTAGAAGATTTTTGACCTATCAAAATAATAAGATTTTGTATAAAAACAATATATACTTAAAAGAATAATTTTCATTTAAATCAAAGTTTTTCTGCTACTATGAAAACGACTATGACCCAGAAACAGTTCATTCGACTGCGTGAACCCTGATACTATTGATTGGATAAAGTCACAAATTAACACTAAAAACAACAAGAATATTTGTTCCAAAAAAGAACAGAAGTAAATTTATTTCCTCCACTTATGATGTGACTTGAAAGCATTGCTGTTTTACCAGGGTTCTTAATTTGTGATTTAAAGAAAATTCAACTTTAAATGGTGACATTACTTAAAATATAAACATTTAAGCAAGCATTTAATAGCTGGCCATCATCCTGTAACAGGCCAAAAAATAAATAAAAAGACTCTTGGCAGTGCAAAGTGAGACTGTTGTACGTGGTCAGAGGTCAAGAAAGTAGACAGCCAATTTGGGCTTCTGGCCAGCGGCCGCCTCTTAATGAAAACCCTGGGCTGCCTTTGTTCCGCTTGACGGTGACGTTGCTGCTGCTATAGGTCACAGCAAACATAACGAATGGTTTTACCGATATCAATTTTATATATTTGAAGTCACCTTGACAGTAAAAATATGGGTATGGCACTTAATTTTCTTGGCCACATGTTTTCAAAAGACTTTTTGCTCCCGGTGACCTGCTACGATAACAAGCCGAAAATTTCAGTTACAGCTCCAAAAAATAAAACCAGTTGCCCTTAGCACGACAGATCATCGTCAGAGGGTAATGATCTGTTTTGTTAACCATTCTTTGTCTGGGACCAGGGTGCTGACAATTTAAACAGGGCAGCTATTTCAAATAACAGGGTGTGTCAATCTGTTGACAACCCTGACAACTGCCATACAGTTATGGTATTTGTAAAAAAAACACCTCAACATTTCTGTAGATACAATGTAATTGAATTTTCAGCAATTTCATACACATTTGTTTGTACATGTATGACTTTATCATAGTCAATATTCATTGTAAAGTTTATCACATTAAGATTGGTTTGTGATGCACACCAGACAGGTTTCTTTCCTGCATGACCATAAGGTTCCTTCCTTCACAATCTCTAGGATGATGCTTCTGAGTAAACCTCATCCATTCTGTACTTTCTAGGTCAGTTAAGTTACAAAAGATGAATTAGAAAAAGTCTACATGGCAAGATTTTAGGTGGTTCAGACAAAAATCCAACACAAATAACCCATTCTATTCCCATTGTTCATCTAGTTCCTAGCTGTGTTATCACATAGTCGTCTTGATTTTGTCATTTCAGAGGCTCTCATCTGCATCAAGTTTACCAAGGAGTGCATCCCCAATAACCTCATCTACACCTCTCACAGTATCATCAGAAGGGCCAAGGTGAGTCAATAAAATGAAGGAATTGATGAACGTTATCGTTCACGGTAAGGGCACTGTGACACCAGGAGTCCCACCAGTCACCAGATTTACTTTGTGAGGAGTTATCATTTAATCTTCTTATGAGACCTTTGTGTTTCATCATCGTACATGTGCATGTTTGTCATAAAAAAAATGGAATTTCGTAAAAGTGTGTTTCCTTAACTTTACCTTCTACAACTTTTACTATTCAATAGTGCAGGACTTTACCAACTATTATGTCGTCTAACTAATTTTTCACACAGCTCTAATTAGAGTATCTCCATCTATTCACAGGCTTACATCTCATCTGCAGTCAACGCTTGGATTGAGCCTGCACCCACAGCCATTGCCTGCTACCCATTCACAATCACACTTACAAACTCAAACCCACCCACAGACTCAACCTCAGACACAGGTTTCACAACCAAGTATGACCCAAACACTGCCCCAGTCACAACTTGTACCTCCAACAATACAAGCAGCGCTCAGACAAGATCTCTCTAGGGCGACATCTGTCACATTGCCAAACCTATTAACACCAACAATTACATTGCCACCACCCATCACATTAACCGGACATCACATGCAGGCGAAATATCTGGCTTCGCTTTCAGCGATAAATATTCCTAAACCTATTATTTCTACAACGACAAGTGTTACAAGTGTGGCAGCTACAGTCCCACCTACAATGTCCACCAGTAGTACATTGCAAGTGTCATCTCCTCACACTGCATCAGTTGTTACTGTACCAGCCTCAAGTAAGTAGTTTCAGATAATACTGTCACACAGCTTAATGTGCTGTAACATAACTACCCCCGTAGTTATAATACAATAGAAGCTCATAGTTTTATGATTGGAAACAGGTCTTGATCACAATCTTTAAAAAAAAAAATATCTATAAAAAAATAATGCAGGTTTATTTTGTGAAAAGTGATAAAAAGTTTGTATGTATAACATTTACTAATAATAATTGTTTTTATTTACAGCATCAATATTCTCGCACATGAGGTCATCTCTCACGCCAGGGAACACATCTTCTAATACACAAGTGACAACTGTCACATCTAACATTCCAGTGGGTAAGCTTACATGTATTCTGTTTATTTGAACATCTCCAGATTATCAACTGGAAGATAATTCTAAGCATGGTGCTCAGAAAACGTGTTGATTGCAAGAAAACTCACATTGGTTGCATACTCCAAAGCATTAATTAGTCATCTAGTTATGGTTATTGCTGACACAAGATGTTTACACCATGTCTAAATGTAGTAGAAATATCCCACTGTTAGCCCGATGAAACAGATGATTTACTTGTGTCATTCATTCCAGTGTGGCTAATCAAGTTTTAATATTTCATCAGGGTTCATGCATTATGCTCAGACCATGAAGCTAAAAAAGAATCCATGCTCATACACACTGCACCCATTCACTTGTGTAATCTGAAGGTAAACAAAAGTGATCTACAAATGACACATCTTGTTTTATCTCTTGAACCTATATTGAATAAAACATAGACTTGTTTTCTTTGCAGTCTGCAAATAGTTTCTATGATGTGAAGTTGTACTATGTAAACTTTTTGTACAAAGACAGCTCTTCCTTTAAAAGTTGTATTGTTTTTGGCTGTCAATTAATATGTGTAATATAATAAATGTAAAAGCTACAGTATTCATAAGATATCTGCTGTGTCAATTCAATGTCATCATCATCATCAAGCGGTGTCATAGATTAGGTTTGATTGATTTTTCGTCATCAAGTTACACATGGGATTCCCTGTTCGTCTATTGAAGATAGACTAAATGTGTATTACAAAATTAATATTTGATGTGAAGCATTTTTCATTAAGATTAAAGCTGCCATTTATAGAATGATTATATACTTAAGTCACCACTGCGTCTCAGTGACATTACCTATTTCCTAGGTTAGTTGTGGTTTGCATGCACCTGAAGCAAAATTCAAATGAAGCAATGCATGAAAGCATTTGTTGTAGTGAAGAGAATTAATAACTTGGTTGATAAATTGTGAAATATATCAGCTTTCAGTCAATACAACTGCAAATGTCACAACTTATATATTTGGGTTTTGGCCAAGTTACTCAAAATTTGAAGAGCATTCACCTAAACTTAACATGCCATTCCAGAAATACAAAGGGATGTGAATAAACAATATTATTGTGCATCTGTAAAGTATTTTAGGTTTAATCAAGTGGTTGATTTTTGGCTAAAGCAATACATTTAATAATTTAATATGCTGTATGAAGAGTATTCAAACTAACTCAACATGTGGATGTTTTTCTTCAGCAAAAGTTTACCCAAGACAACAACAGTTGCCCCATTCACCACGAACTCAACCTGATTTCCCCAGTGAGTCACCCAGTATGTTTCTGGCGGCAGCAGCAGCTCACCGTTCTTCACCAAATCCAGCTATGATCTCTACAGTAGCAGCAAGTCTACCTGTATCTGCTGTGACATCAGATACTCGAGCTATGTCGCATGCTGCACAGTACACCGGTGCACATACTTATCTATTACCACCTACATATGACCCAACACTCGGTAAGTTTTCCAACAAAAATACTTAGTAAATTAGTGTTGTAAACCCCTCTGATTTCACAAACAGTGTCCTCCTCAGGTTCACCATTGTATACTGTGGTATTGGCCTACCCATCAGCTAATCTAATAATTAAGATCATTATATAGTATAGAAGCCTGCTTCTAATACGTTACTTTATTTACAGGATATGCAATGCATTCGTATGGTGTTCCATTTACTAGTGCTGTGAGACCAGGTTTTGGTGAGTAATCCATCTTGGCATTCCAAAAGCATTAATCTGTCTTTAGTACTGTGAAAGAAGTTTAAACCAAATTATAGATTTTATGTTGTGGTCATCATCAGTGAAAAAAATGAGGTCATCAGTCAATTTTTGGAGATGCAAGAGTCCAAAATAATATTAACAATGGTCAAAACTGTCATTTTTACACTTTTTTACGATGAGATAATTTCTTAATATCTCAAAATTTTGCTCAGTGAAATAGGATGAAAACATTTCAAAAAATTTACATAATTTAGTGAGATTCTGAAATGACAAGTTTTTAGCTCCGCTGTTGACTGTCAAGTGGAGATTATCATATGAGTGATCGTCTAAATCTGTGTCAACTTCTTCTTGAAAACTACAATTCCTGCTTTGATACTTGGTGTATATGTACCTTGGGCAGACCTCTTAAATTTGTATATTTTGTGATGATATTTTCAATTCTCTAATTTTGATGATTATTTTTGTCATTTTTGGTAAAAAGTGATAGAAGAAATATTGGAGATATCATGTCAATCTCAGCGCATATTCAGCTAAAATATGGAGAATAATAATTGTATAAATTTATTTACATGTTGAATTAATATTGTATGTATTTTGAAAGTCGCACTCTGAGATCATTCAGACTATTCAAAAGATTTTATGTCTTAATTTGTACAAATTGTTGAAATATGTAAGAAACTTCTTAGTTGCGTTAACAATTTTCTTTGTTAACTTTTGAATAAGAGTTTCAACGTGTGTGGATTCTCAAAGAATCAAATTTCAGAATAAGGGCGAATTCTCAAATACTTGCCATTAATTATGCATGTTCATACCATCAAATATTTCATGCAATAGTCACAAGACTAAAATATATCTATTAAAGAGTATCTCAAATTGCAACTAGTATTTTCAACATTAATTAATTAAATCAAATCAGTGTTGGTGCTAGCATGTAGTTTTGTAATTAACTGACTGATTTACTGTGCATGATGTTCTATACCTGCATGACTCATGTGGAATGAATAGAATTTCAATCACTTACTTCATGTTATGTGTTGTTTTTGTTTGATTAGTTTATTTTGTTGTGTAGTGTATTAACTCCCAGCACTCTTTCTTTCTTTCTGCTCTGTTTCTTTTGCCCTCTTCTTTATTAATGGGTAGTTGGTTTCAATCATCTGCCTGTTTCTTCAGCTCCTCAAGGTTCATCCGTGGCTGCAGCAGCAATGGCGGCTGCAGCTCATGCTGCAACTGTTGGTGCAGCACCTGTACGTATAAATCCATTGAATTTAATGCCTGTAGATCAGAGGCAACAAATGGCTCCTATACCAGGCACCATTGCTACTGCTAGTGAAGGTGAGTACATCCATAACAGTTCATTAGATTCTAGCTCTACTAACACATTTATAGAAGGTATGTGACCAAGTGTTACTTTGACTTGTGAAAGTGCGAAATCTTGCCGTCATTGCGAGAGTAATCTACTAGGCAATGTTGCAATTTTCATAACTGTTTTACTAACAACATTGCTATACATTGAGCAGTGTTGTTTTAAATATAGTCCCCCTAATGCCCAGGCACACACTAGTCATCCACTAGAGCCTTCCACTAGTCTCTCTGCATGGAGATCTGCTTAAGTTGACTCTAGCATCATTTTTCTTTCCACTTGGAGTATATTTTTCCTATTTTCCCATGAGATTAAATTTCATGTGCCTATCTAAATATTATAAATGTTCATTGATATTAAAGAGCTTCATAGTAAGTGTCATTGCATTGCAGTGCAGTGCTGTCAGCTGGCAATGTTACGGTGATCAGAGCTTTATGGTATAGATAAATGAAAAATCATTGAGTTCAGTAGCAAAAACATGTTCTATGAAAGCATTAACAATGCGTAAAAACAATGAAATCTATGCACCAAAAGAACAAGGGAAATAGTGACACTATTTTGCACGAAAATATTTCTTCTGCAGGTTTCCCTGTCTTTCCCTACTTTATCATAGATGTCAGTTGATGTCTCATCATACATGCATGTTGATGAAAATTGTTGGCTGCCTTAACAGTCTTTGTATTGAAATCAATAGCTGGTACTTTTTTGGCTCAAGAACTGTAATTGAGTGTTATGTATTTATCTCTTATTCAGGGTTGCCTGTGGATGGTAGTGCTGGTATAGGAGGAATGTATGCAGGTGCTGGTAGCTTAATGAATATTGGTAGCAGTACGACCATATCGTCAAATAACTTAGCAAACCCTAGTGCTTCACCGAGACCCAGTATACTGAGAAAAAGAACAAATGAAGGGTAAGATATTCAAACCAGAGTAGAATTTAAACAGCATGTGAGACGTTCAGCGAATATTTGGTTGACTTCTACTTCTCTTTTAATTATCTAGTCTACGTAAACCAGTTGTAAGTACGCCGACTGGCAGCCAACCAGGAAGTCCGAAAACAGATTCGTCGCAGTCAACATTATCTGCCACCAGTTCACCCAAGCCAAGGTAACTGTCTCAAATAATTATTAGACTGCTGTTTAGTTATTTATTTTTTTGAGTATTTCACCTACAAGTGATTTAACATTTCATTCATATACTGCTTGAAAGAATTGCTTTTACAGCGATGTTTCACGACGGCAAAGTTTTTAAAACCTTAAGTAACCACATTTTAGTGTTAATATTAAGAAATCATCAACAATAAAAACATAGATAGACCCGTATGAGGCGGTACAACAACTGTGGTACTTGTCTCACGGTAACTGTTGCTAAACATTTCTAATATTTCCTTTTAGTGATGGATTAAGTTTAAGTCAGCAAAGTGTTGAAATGAATGTTGTTGACAGCAGTACAAACACCATGTTGGCCAATAATGATGTGATTAGAATTAAACAAGAACCAGATACGATTATTGAGGGAGTGCTTGCATTGAATACTAGCGTGCCTCAGAGTACTACTACAGTTACTATAGATACCATGGGGGCTTCACCGAGAAAGAAACCAAGAAAACAACAACATATGTAAGTGTAATTGAATTCACAGTAACTGTTGGTAACTCACTGTGCAAGATATGTTTTATTTGTTCAACCATATTGGCTATGGGTACATCTTCACAAATCTGTGAGAAAGTCTATACTGATAACATTTTACTTTGTTTTAGTGTGGCCACTGAAGATCATGATATGGTTGAAAGTAATTCAACAGATGAAGCTGATGAAGGAGACCCCAGACCTCTCTTGACGCCCAAGAAATCTACAGACAAATCAAAAGATGATAAGAAACAGGCAAAAGGTACACTTGTGTTTCTGACTAATCCCCTTGGTACATAGTATTTGTTTCAAATACCAGATAGGTCTTTTTTTTGTGTGGGGTTTAGCAGGAATGTCTTGAAACTTTTATTGTAATATGACATCATACAAATATTCAAAATATTCACCCTAACAGGCAGTTTTAGCGATATGAAGAGGTCATTTCCTGTGCCCCCTCCTTGCAGTGTTCAAGTATAAGAAGCCTTACTTCATTTTAACACAGTAACAGCAGTGCAGCAAAATGCATATGGATGTGCTATATATCTGTTTCTGTATTGAATTTTTAGTTCCTTCATTCCTTCACTATATACAGGTGATTTATATAAATCATTCTATAATTTCATACACAGAAGTGAAGTATATTCAGTATTTGAAAAGGCCATATAAGAATTTATTAGAAATGTACAGACAGTCGTGGAATCCTGCAGTTCATCACTTTCATAGATATGCAGATGTCAAGGTTAAAGGTGAGTAAGAATAGTTTTTGCTGCTAGGTCATCCTGTGAAATAAATATGTCACGACTATATCTTGCTGGAAATGCACATTTATTCATATAACCCAAGAGCTTATGTGACATTGTATTGCACCATGCAGTTTTCAAAAGAAGTATCGTATAATCTCTTGAATATGCATCATTTTTCAAACATTTCAATTATTCCTGACGCCTAGATTAGAGTGTAATATACTGTTTTGACAGTGAGCTGTTATCACCATTAAAAGGTAAAATTCTTCTTCAATGCTTAGTTTATCTTCCAAAAACAAGAACTAAAACCTTAAAAAAAAATATGCTGTTTTCCCATCAAAATCAAAGCCAAAAGATCGCACTACGACATCGGTAAATCTTTTTCGTGTTGCATTCATCATGAAGTCGCTGAACTATCATATTTAAATGAGCTATGGTAATTCAAACACATTGGCACCATCCAGCATTTTGA